AAATTCCATATAGCGCACTTTTCCATTCTTTGGACTTCTATAGTTTCTTCTTACATCATGGACCTCACGATTTTAGTACTTACAGTGTGAAATATATCATTTGTAAGCACATTACATGTCTCAGACTACAAACTTCTTGACAGGCCAGTTCATATACTTCATTTGTATCATCCTTAATCCTTAGCAAAGTGCTGAGCATTGGGCACATGGTAAGGACCATGAAGATGTTGACAAATTAATCTGATAGTCTATCAATGTTTATGTACTCAGTTCTTTTTGTGTATATGTTCCAATATAACTTTACTTATGGACACTAAAATTTGGATTTCACATAATTTTTGCATGTAATGAACTATTGTTCTTCGTTTAATTTCTTTAAAGACTTTATTTTTTAGAGTAGTTTTAGGTTCACAGCAAAATTGAGGGGAAGGTAGAGATTCTCCTGTATATTCATTTACCCTACACATGCATAGCCTCCCCCACTATCAATATCCCCCACCAGAGTGGTACACTCGTTACAATTGATGAACCTACACTGACACATCATAATCACCCAAAGTCCATAGTTTACATTACAGTTCACTCTTGGTGTTGTACATTCTATGAGTTTGGACAAATGTTTTGTGACATGTATCTATCATTGTGGTATCGTACAGAGTATTTTCACTGCCCTAAAAATCCTCTGTGCTCTGCCTGTTCAATCCTCCTTCCCCTAACACACACTCACGCACACGCTCCTTAGTTTTTATGTGTAAGGGAAGGAAACTAACATTTGTTGACCATTGATTACATGCCAGGCTCTGTGTTTAAAGCTTTACATGTATTCCTTCATTTAGAGAGATTGATCAGGCACTGGGCTGTTTGGAAGATGAAGGTATTAGGAAAAGGAAGACTAACATAGACTTCAATGTAGCAAACCAGGAATGATTGACGAGGATGCCTCTGATGGGATTGGATCACTCACTAGGTACTGAAGGGGATGGAGACAGAAGACACATTTTGCTCCTGAAGCCTCTTTTCATGAGCTCCAACTGGGTACACATCCCACTGGGTAGTAACGATGTCTACACTTTATTGACTGTACTGTGCTGGAATTTATCAGGAACTTCACCTTAAAAGGGGCAGAGTGTGACAGTAGGAAGAGCATGAGCTCAGAGTCCAGTGAAACTTCCCCACACTGGTTCTGCATGTTACTAGCTGTGTGACATTAAGCAAGTTTCTTAAACTCTTTTAGCCTTAATTTTCTTATCTGTAAAATGGATACGATAATAACTACCTCCTAGGATTATATGATATTAGATGCAAAATACCTAGCATACAGAAATGCTCAATAAAGCTCCCTTTCCTTTCCTCCCTCTCTTCCTATACACAGCCTATTGGACCTGAAGAATTTGAAAGGTCCAATTTCTATATTGACATGACCAATATAGAAAAAGTACTTTTCTTTGGCGACATCCGGTATTACAGAAATTTTGTTTCCTCAAATGTCAACTCTTACAGATGTGGTAGTGTTAGTTGTCCAACATATTCCTGGAAGACTAACTTTGTTTTTAAATGGTTCATTTTGCAAATTAAAAAAATGAATCCAGATAGAGAAATTGTCATTCCTTAGCCATGAAGGATATCAACACAATTCCTAAAATTCAGAACTCCCTTGTTTCTATTCCTTTGCATAAATCATGAGACTACTTTTTCTTCAATGCAGAAAACAAGGCATTTTGTACAGAAGGAAATTAACTATTCTCTTTCTCAGTTTCAGCAAGAGGCATATTTATTATATGTTCAACAAAGTCGTATTCACTTTTTCCAACTGAGAAACATTTAAGGGATTTCATTATATTTGGGGAAATTTTCATCAATCAGAGATTTAGCAGCCACCAAACAGGAACCCCACAATTAATCTTTTATAACATGAGTGTGACTTGTAATCTCTACACTAAGAAAAAAAATGACTAAATATGAGGGAAAACTATTCATAAACTATAATATTTCTTGGCAAAGAAAAACTGCTTTATGTTTTTTAAGATATGCTTGAGAATTTAAATAAAACTTACATGTTTGAAATTAGTGCCAGATGCAACACGATTCAAACACAATTCACAAGCTGCATCAGATACTTCACTGTGATTTAGTAAAAGGTATTCAATAATTCTATGTTTCATAGAAATTTCACAAAAACAAGTATTTCATTCACAAAATGCATGGTTTGGCAGGTTTCCAGGGCAAGAATTTGCTGAAGGGAAGGGAAATTTATTGATTAAAATAAATCAAATGACTGACATTTCTCCCAGAAAACTGGCAAAACGATAATATTCGGAGACTGAAAGTCTTACAACCAGAACCAGAAGAAAAGTCTGAGCTATTTACACTTATTTTAGGAATCCAATAATGTCATAGAGAAAGCAATCAGAAACTTGAGAATTTTCAAATTAACATTAAGAAACTTAATTTAAAAATATTTTTGGGGGGCTGGCCCAGTGGCATAGTGGTTAAGTTTGCGTGTTCCACTTCGGTGGCCTGGGGTTCGTAGGTTCAGATCCTGGATGTGGACCTATGCACTGCTTATCAAGCCACGCTGTGGCGGCGTCCCACATATTAAAAAAATGGAGGAAGATGGGCACGGATGTTAGCTCATGGCCAGTCTTCCTCAGCAGAAAGAGGAGGATGGGCAATGGATGTTAGCTCAGGGCTAATCTTCCTCACCAAATATATATATATATTTTTGGAGTAGGATTTTCCAAAAACCTTCAATGTGAAATCTGGTGTTTGTATGTCTTTGGAGTACTTATAATTATATTCCCCCTCTCTCCCATACACATTTATATCCACTAAATATGAGCATTCTTTGAAGGAATATATGTAGAAACAATCCAGATAGTTGTTAAACAGACCAACATTACTTCCTTCCTACCCCATGTCTCAGCTCTTCCCCCTCTGTCCTCTATGTCCCCATTCTGGTCACACCTCCACCATCAACATTTGTTATGGACTGAATGTGTACCCCTAAAATTCATATGTCGAAATCTTAACTCCCAGTATGGCTATATTTAGAGATGGGGCCTCTAAGGAATTAAGGTTAAATGAGGTCATAAGGGTCGGGCCTTGATTGGACAGGATTAGTGTCCTCTTAAGAAGAGACACCAGATAGCCCTTTCTCTCTTTCTCTCTCTCTCTTCTCTGACACACATACACAGACACACACACACACACACGTGCACAAAGAAGAGAACTTGTGAGCACACAGCAAGATGGTTGCTGACTACAAGCCAAGAGAAGAGGCCTCAGAAAGAAACCTGCTTTGCTGGGACCTTGATCTTGGACTTCCTAAGTTCCAGAACTGTAAGAAGTAAATTTCTGTTGTTTAAGCCACCTGGTCTGTGGTATTTTGTTATGGCAGCTCCAGAAGGCTAATACAGCAATTCAGAGGCCCAATGCAACAGCTATAACAGCATTTTCCTTCACATCTTTCCTTTAACTGCTTAGCTTTTTAACGATTTGGATTCAGGGAAAATGCTATTGAGAAGCTGGATGCATTTGGCCAGGACAGTTAGATACAAATCCTTAAATCACTCAGCCTTGCTTCTCTTCTACAATCAGAGAATGTGAGCAGGAGAAAGGACCTTGGCGACCTAAGCTTGTCAATTCAGGTTTCACTACAATTCTGGTGTTTTAGAAAACTACTGCATAAACCTGGCACATCTTCTGCAAGACACTGGTGGTGAAGTAGTGGATGGTTATAAGTAATAAGCTTAAAGATATGTTTATACAAAATTATGATATATTATTGAGTACAATGCAAAATTTTTACACAGTTTTAGAATGCTTCTAAGAAAGGCGTTATTGATAACGTTTATAATAACAAATAGCTATGACTGAAAATTACCGTGTACCAGATAATGTGTTAAGGGCTTTATGTGTATTTCCTTATATAATCACAACACTAGAAGTTAGGAAAGTATTCATAGTCTTATTATTATTACAGAACACTATTTCAGAAAATGGAAGCATTTCTAAAATAGTCCCACCCCCATCATGATCATATGATTCTGTTTCACTTTCTTCATAGTGCTTTTCTGGTTTGTTTTTCCCTTGCTTATTTATTTTCTATGCTCCCCCAAGCCCCTCCTCAGGCCTGAACCAGTGGCTGCCACGGAGAAGGAGCTCAACAAGTTTTCGGCCAGGGCCCCACAGCTGGGCAGTGAAGCAGCACGGACGACCAGCAGATGGTAAGCGCCACGAGAGCAGGAGTCAGGACCATCTTCCTCTAAACAGAGGCTGGCAGGGTGCCTGCTTGATAAAAAAAAAAAATGTGCAGAAAGGAAAAAAGGAAGGGAGGGAGGGAGGGGAAAAGGAGGAATGAATGGAGACGTTCCCACAAGGACCTATGGAGCATCTGCAGCGCTTCTCCCTCCTTGAGGAATGAATTCAGTTCAAGGTGTAAGCCAGCACTTTCCTCGCCCCGAGCACCGGCCTACGGCAGGGGACGGAGAAAGAACAAAGCCTTAGAAAACGTCCAGAAGGAAGGCGAAAACGGGGAGAGAAAACGGGTAGAAGACAAGAAGAAAGAAACCAAGTCCCCTCTTCTTGTCGATTTCAAAGCGGAGCTGAGCTCGGCCGGTTGCCATGGCGACCCCGGGCCAGAACGGCTCCAGCCCATTGGCTGAGACGCCGGAGCCAATGAGAAGGCGCGATGTTAACGCGGTCCTAAGATGGCTGCCAGGCGGCCGGCTTCAGACCGGTGAGTACGGCTGATTGCGGGGCTGGCTTCCGGCTGACCGGGGCTCTGGCGTGGCGGGTTCGGGAGGGTCCGGGGCGTGGAGTGGGGGGGCCAGCGTGGGCGGCCTCACAGCCTCTCCGCTGAGCCAGCAAAGCGCCCGGCGCGGGCCCAGGGGAGCGTCGTCTGCGGGGCCGGCCTCCGCTTTGCTCGGAAGGGGCGTCGCAGCGCTTCCCCAGCCTGTGGGCGGGAGAGGGGTTCTCCGTCCGTCCCAGCCGAAGTGAGAGAGGGAGAGGAGGCTTCGATCGGGAAGCAGTCTCCAGTTTCCAGTTGCTGTACCCCAGAGAAGAGCTGCGGTTAATGGGAGTGTCAGCAGGCTAGACATCCTGCAGCAGAATCTGCGGCGCTTAGTTCTGTGCCCGGGAAGGGATGCTTCCCGTTTGGGGATCGGAGTGTGGCTCTGCCGCCGGAGAGCGTGCAGTGTACCGGGTTGTGCAGCCCAGCAGGAAAAGGTGGACCTTTCTAGAGCTACCCTTTGCAGTCTTGAACCTTGTAAGTATTCTCATAGCGGCATCCGACTTAAAATGAGCGTCGAAACATTGTTGGTTAACTGCAGATCTTTCCCTGCAGGGTCTTGTGTCTGGGGAAGTGTTTTCCAGGCCTTGACTGAACAAACACTCTCTTTAAGTGAAACAAATTTATACATGTAAAATCCTGCTAAATAGTTTATCTGGGTAATCAGATTGGTAACTTAAATCCGAAGTTAGGCCTGTGATAAAGTTGTACTTTCTCTACCTTTTTGAGAAAAGGGAACGCATTTATTTTATTTCATGAAAGTAAGTGGGATGTTTACGTTAATGTTGGTGAAACATGCTTTAAAGTATTTTAGTTAAGTAACTAATTCCAAGTCGTAGAAACTGATTATTGTGTAAATTATTTAACATAGTCTTCAGATTGGTGGGTGGTGGTGGTTTGTGATTATTATAAAGTAAGATTAAATTAAGATCAGACAAGGTTCAGATTTCTGTCATTATTTCTAATTGAATACAAAATGTGGGAAATAAGACAGCATCCTTTGGTGAAATGGCATTGAAATCCTGGAATATTAGAGACAAGAGACATTTTCTGATTAAACTGCTCAGATTGTATCTTTTGGGTTTTGCTTATAAGCAGCTCCCTGGTCTTCCAGAAAATGTGACGTTATTACCCAAACTTCTGAATGTGACTGTGGTGTATGCAATTTATTATAGCATCTTACATAGCTTTCTGCACTTAAAAAGTGAGAAAAAAAATCTTAATCAAATTTTAACAAGTCAAGAATTACAGGCTAGAATCATTCTTCAGACCCACTTTCAAATCTTTGTCTCCAAGATACTACTTAAAACTCTGCCCTCTAAAAGTTTGTAATTTGTAGTTACAGAGTTCTGTTTTTGTAAAAAAGGGGATCACAGTGCATTAGGCAAGTCAGTTACCTCATCTGTAAAAGAGAGTAATTCCTGGTGGCAGGGTAGCTGTGAGGATTAATGGCACATCAGTGCCTGTCACATTGTTTGTGTGCCATGTATAGCAGTGACCTGCTTTGTTTCCTCTTTCTGGTTCTGTTTCTTCTCTCATAACTGGGTTTTCCTTCCCTTTTTCCAGAGCATCTTGCAGGTGTCCTGTCTGAAGTATAGTCTTATTGAAAACTAGCAATCTTGGCTGTGGCAGCTAGGTTGAGGAGAGAACCTTGTCTACTGGGGTGTTGGGGTTTAATCAGTGTTGCATGTGACTGGGAGAGAATGGAGTGTTACAGCAAAGAGTGAGGTGACTCTGGGCATTTGGGCACATATAATATTACGATCCATAAAAGAAACATTTTAGAGCTGCAAGACATCCCAGATCATCTGATCAAATCCTTCATTTTATAGCTTAAGGGTGGAGACCCAAACAGATGCAGTGGCTTGCCTACAATTATGTTGCTCAGGACTAGAAACGTGTCTTCTGACTTTCAAAACTGTTTTTCCCTGCTATACCCAAAAGGATTGGGTCATTCCCAATCCTTTTACAACCTAGAACCCCTTTTATAATTTGATATCTCCATGGATGCCATATTTTGAAAGATTCTGTCTACTAAAATATATTCATTGTTATTATTTTTTAATAAAAATCAGGTCGTGGCTACCAATCAGAGCCTCTGATTAAAGAATATGTGGTGAAGAATAATGCTTCGTTGAATTTAAGTCTCTTCACCTAAAGGTGGACGATATTGTTTGAGGAAAAATAAAGTATGCTGGGCTTTTTGAATACTGAACTTAGCTTAGAGACCTCCGTTACAATCTTCATAGAACTTTGTAGAAACCTTAGATTAGGAACTGCTGAACTGTGTTGTGTTCTTGACGCATTGTGATCTGCCCAAGTGTGGTAAATAGTGACTGTGGTTGGTTTTCAAGGGCAAAAGAAAACCCAGCCATTCAGACTAGGATGATACATAAATATTTTCAGTTCATAGTAAATTGTGTCAGCCCAGGACAAAAGATGTGTTCTACATAGTATATACAGAATTTTTTTGAAGAATAATTGTGGAATGGAAAAAATCTTAACTCTAGAGGTAGAGAGTGTGTGAAATGAAGAAGGTGATATTCAAAACTACAGAGAAAAAAGGGATGCTGAATCATTTGCATCTTCTTTGGGGTCAAAATGATTAAATTAAAAATTGTTTGAGTTACAAGCTAAAAAATGAAAGCTTATGTATTGATATATGAACTGTTACATAGACCTGGCTATAATCCATACTAAAAAACTAAGTTTCTAGTTCTCAGTATGCCACATCTCTTGAGAATAGCTGAGTAATCTTTCACATTTAAGGGATAATTTGGAGTGATCTGCTTTAAAATAAGAGTACGCTCTGAAAGGCTTAGGGGGAGAGACACTTCAAAGAAATAGAGGATCATCCTCCAAAGCAGCCGAAACAGAAATAACAGGAGGCCTAACATAGTACCAATTGGTACCAGAGTACAATTGGAAATGTATGAATGACACGTATGTGCTGTGAGTAGAAAGATAGTGTTTTCGAACCTGAGGCCAAAGCAAGTCGTAAAGCAGCCACTCCATATTGGCTGATTTGCAGTCGAGCTGCTGCTCATGTGGGCAACTCTACTTTGCAGGCTCATCAGTGAGGGAGCTGTGTTTATCAGTGGCTACCGAGTTGTCCTTCTGTTTGTTTGTTTGTTTTGTGCAGTCATAAGAGAATGGCACATCACTTTAAAGATGTTCCAAGAGTTGAGTTCAGAAACATACCTTATTTGAATTTTGCCTTATTTTATGGATTTGGGCATAGAGTGTACTTTTTAAAAGTTATTTTAACTTTTCTCTTTTCTGCAAGCACACACAAGGAATTGTAATACCAGCCAATGCCATACTGGTAGAATTGGCATTAAGACAATTCTTAATGCCACATCAGCAAGAGCTAAAAATAGATGATTTTGAGAAAGTCCAAAAAGTGATCAAAAATGGATAACTGCTTGAGGCCTGATGAGTCCAGGGCAACAGAGACTGGTCCCCAGGGTGAAGCCTGTTTGGGTGCCCAAAGCATAGACTCACCCTGCAGAGATGCTGAAGCAGTGGTCCAGTGGAAGAACTGTGGCCGTCTGAGAGGCATACGTCTTTCATGAACAGCCATAACTGAAGTCTGGGCTGGGTGGTGCTTGGCTGCTGATGGACAGAGGCTTGCCACGTGTGTACAGTGTTGGTTCTCTGAGGTTAGGCGTTTTTGCCTGTTTTGTATACTGCTGTCCTCATGTCTTGAAGAATGCCTGGCACACAGTGGTATGCAGAAGATGCTATGGACAGGGAAAAGGAACAGTGGTTTCAGACACAGACCCCAATTATGCTAAGAAGGCTAAATCTGAAATTTGTTACAATCCTTAGTCCTGAAATGGTTAATGAGCCTAAAGGTATATTATATGCCGGTGTCAGAGTTGTGTTGGAGCTTATTATTGCTTCCCTCTCTTTGCTCCTCAGAACAGTAGAAATATCTTTACTAATAGCATAACATCCGTTTTCCAATATTGCATGTTTTATGTGATGTCCTGTGTGCTAACAAAGTAACTCAAGACTTCCTCCATTACAACTTTTAGAATCCTCAGGCCAGGTTTAGGAATGGATCCAGGTCTTATGGGGCCTGCAGCTTATATAGTTTTGGGTCTCGTCTTTAAAAAAAGGAATACAGATTCTAAATAGAAAATTAGGTATAGTGCTTTGAAGGACCTGTGCAAAGGAGGAGCCTTGAAGCTTAGGCTTCGTTATCTTCCTGGTAATTTGTTTCTGGTTGTATTGCTCCATTCAGAAAAACAGACACCAACATTTTCTATAGAAACTCCTGTCATACTTGGAAATCAGGGAAGTAAATGATTTGCATCATTTGCTAAGTGAATGTATTTGAAACATTAGAAACTGCCTTGTGAATGCTGCCACCCATAATAGAAATGATAAAAATGCAGTCCATGGCCATGGAATAATAGCAACAAGAACTGAGCATTGATCGAGCCCCTGGAACCTCCTAAACCCCGTGTTGGGTGTTTTCATGACTTATCTCATTTAATCCTCAGAATAACCCTCTATGCAGTATAATTATCCCTGCATTACACATGAAAAAACTGAGAGTCTGAGGTGTTAAAAATGATTTTCATACACGACTAGTGTATGGTGGAATGAGGATTCCAGTTGGAGCAGATAGATGTCAGAGCCCTTCTGCTTAAAAAGCCAAAAGAATATTTTGGTGAGGGTGTTTCAGAGAGCTGACAACTGATGGGGCTGGACCTAAACTGCAAAAAGTAAGATCTAATTCTTTGGTCCTGGGAGGAGGTGCTTAATAGATCTCAGGCATCCATTATTCAGAGTAATGCAAAATCCCCTGATGCCTTTGTCTCATAGAGAATGGTGGTGGTTTTCTTACTAGAGTCATCACAATAGGAGGCAGAAAACTCAGCAAGAAAGATTTCCATCCTTCCATTTTATTCCTTAAGAATAATAAATCATGAGCAGTATAACCAGCTTTTCTATTTTATACATCTTTTGAACTAACTGGTTTTAGCTCAGTGTGTATGCTAAAATAGACCGTGCTGTGGAGCTCAATTGTGAAAAGGTATGCAGTTATGCTAATTTTAGCAAATGATTAAACTCCATTTTTTTAAATCATTTTTATTAAATTTAACAATAGTTAATGGTTCTTTCTACTAATGGGCCATATAGCTAATGATGAATATGATCCTGAACTTTAACATTTGTTTCCCAAATACAATATTGTTATACAAAAAAGCTGTACATTTTTGTTAAATTGTTAGGATTATACTCCATTTAGTATTATTTTAGCGGACAGTATAAAATTTAAAACTAGGACATCCTTTTTATCACCACACTTTCTTCAAGCTACTTGTACGGCTTAAAAATTTTCCTTTGAATAATTGTTTTCCTACTCGTTAGACAATCCCCTGAAAATTTTATACCAAATACAGGTGAAACATTTAATTTTATTTTCTTCTTTAACTGTTATAGCTTGAAATATAGTATTATAATTCTTAAATTGCCTGCAGTGTATATTGTTAGGCTCTTAACATTCTTGAGCAATGAATACTTTTACTGAATTTCCTTTTTTTGGACAAAATTATCCATATACTGAAGAATCAAGGTCCTATTTTCTTAAGTCATTCATCTGGAGGTGTGTCTTATAACAAATTTGCTTAAACTACTTTATGCTTTTTTTTTCATTTATACAAGCAAAGATTTTAATTATTTTGGAGAGTATATTCCATTTTAGATTTTAAAAAAGTTCAGATGGACTGTTCCCAAACCATTGGTATAATTATTCGACTCCTGGGGTGTCTTTTAATGGTTTTAAAATTCTTTCCATGTCTACATTCATCTTTTTCCTTTTAGAAGAAAAGATGTGGAGTGGGCTGCTACCTCCTGGCCTAAAAGAAAGTGATGTTGAGTTGAGTTCTGAAGATGAAGCCCCATTAGAGAACTCTGGACTTAACTTACAGGAAGATAAAGAAGATGGGACTGTGACAAAAACAGAGATCTCAGATTTCCCTACAGATGGACCAGAAACTAAAGCAGAGGCAAATGTAAATGCTTATGAAGAATGTCCCTCTGGAATTCCCTTAAATATGTGGAATGTAGGTTTTCTCTGATGTTCTTATTAAGTCTGTGTATTCGTGCATGCTCCTGTGTGTCTCTGCCATGGTCAGAATGTATGTGTCCTTGGGAGGTAATAGGTGGGGAAGGTTGACTCGCAGTACTTTTATTACTTTGTGGATCTGTGGTCAACCCATTGGCCACTCAGATACTTGCTTTCATTTGTGTTTTGTTTTTCATAAAAAGAGGAAGAAAAAAAAACATTTAGTAGAATTAGCTACTTTGTCTAACATAATACATGAGGAGTTTCTATGCTAATTTTATCTCTTTGTCGTCTATATGAGTCATTGAATTTTACTCTCAGATTATCAGAGTGATTTATTTAGAAATAAGTCAAGATAAAAACTTAGGTTTTGAGAGAGTCTTGAAGAATAGAGTATCTCAAGAAGAACTGAACTACTTCTATTAAATTTATGTTTTTATAAATGCTAGAATATAATTATTTTTGTTACTTAATACATTTGGTGTTTTTTGAATATATACTTTGCTTCAAATGTATTTGCTTCTCACTTTTTTTTCTTTTATATAGAAATTTCAAGAATTGCATAAAAAACATTCTGAACAGAAAACTTCAACTTCAAGATTCAGAAAGAAGAAAAGAAAACACTCCAGAAAAGGTGTTGTGTTTAAATTCAGGTTAATTGTCAATAGTGCTAATGTTAAATTTTGACTAATTGAGCTCAACAATTTTTAATAAACATAATTTTGAAATAACAACTAAATACTTAGGTATTGACACTTTGTGAATTCTTTTTAGGTAAGTTGAAGAATGAAGAAGAATCTCACAGGTAGGTAGAATTTAAAATATTTGTCTATTCTAGATAGTATTGTAGAACTTGTACAAATAGTTGAACTACTTACATCTGAAACATAAAAACTAATTGTTGTAACATAATTGTAGTACCAATTAAAAACAGTAAAAATAAAAATGAGTATGTTTTATGTAAAACATAAGTTATTGTCTGTCTTCTTGCAGTGAACAATCCTCAAGGGAAACCCAGTGGAAGGAGCTTACTCAGTATTTTGGAATCAATGATAGGTTTGAACCCCCTGTTAAAAAGAAAAAAATTGACAAGGTAGGATATTTTTTATTGAGTCTTATATTAGCCAGTGGGAAATGTGTGTAATTAGCCTTGCCTGGGGTATTTCTCCTCATTAATTCATTCAGTGAACAAGTTAAAATGCCTATTGTGCGCCAAACAAGATGCTAGATAAACAAGTAAATACATAGTTACAAATAATTAAAAATACAGTTAAGAAGGAAATGAACAGGGTCCAGCCCCGTGGCTTAGCAGTTAAGTGCGTGTGCTCCGCTACTGGCGGCCTGGGTTCGGATCCCGGGCACGCACCGACGCACCGCTTGTCCGGCCATGCTGAGGCCCTGTCCCACATACAGCAACTAGAAGGATGTGCAACTATGACATACAACTATCTACTGGGGCTTTGGGGTGGTGGGGGGGAAAGGAGGAGGATTGGCAATAGATGTTAGCTCAGAGCCGGTCTTCCTCAGCAAAAAAAAAAAAGAGGAAGATTAGCATGGATGTTAGCTCAGGGCTGATCTTCCTCACAAAAAAATTTGAAAAAATAAATAAATAGAAGGAAATGAACAGGATATTGTGAAGAAATTAAAATGGAAGCCCCACTTTAGCTTGGGTGGTCAGGGAAGGCCTTTCTTAGAAGATGCCTTTCACTGAGGCCTGAAGGATGGGAAGGAACCATCTATATAAAGAATGCTAGTGTAGAGGTAATAACCTGGATAAAGATCCTAGGGAAGAAAGAGTCATCATGGGACGTTTGAGTAACTGTAAGTAAGAAAGTCATCCCATCTGGAGTGGAGTCAGCGAGGACAAGGGTGGCCCATGAGAAGATTGGAGAGGCAGGCAGGCAGGGACCGAACTGTGTAGGACCTTACGGGGCATAGTAAGGAACTGGGTTTTAGTCTCACGATGCAATTGAGAGTCATCCAAGGGTTTTAAGTTAAGGGAGTGACATGGTCTAAGTTATGTTTAAAAGGGTGCTCTTATGTGGAGAATGGACTGTGGGGCAGCAAAAGGAGATGAGAAGAGAAAGGAGACTTCTAGGCATGAGATGATGGTGGCTTGAACAAGAATGGTGCTGCTGAAGATGGAGAAAAGTGTATGGATTTGAGGTATAATGTAGAAGTGGAATTGACAGTATTTGCTTCTGGATTGCTTGTGAGGTGGTGGGAGGATTTGGGGCATGAGGAGGGAAAGAGCCATTCAAGGTTTTACCTTAAGCAATGGTGTGAATAGTGATGCTAGTTACGGAGATGGGAAAGCTTGGGAGGGGAGGAGATTAAGAGTGGGGCCTTTCCAAAGTTCATTTTGGGGCATGGGTGATATCAGCAAGCAGGAATAGAGTAAACTGTTGGTAAAATGAGGCAGGAGCTGGGAGGAGAGTCTGAGCTTGAGTTACATATTTGGGAATCATCAGTCTATAGATGATATTAATACATAGTGGAGGCTTGAGTGAAAGAATAACATACATATAGGGAAATGTTGACAGACTCTAGGAGCATGAAGATTGAGCACTGAGCAGTAGGGCTAGAGGCACAAGGGCCTGCCTGTGTGAAGCCCAAGTATATTATACCCTGCATGTGTAGACAGATGCCTCCTTTTTGAATTATTGCTGTAGACTATTGTGTGTACTTAGAGATTATTACCATTTTCTGATTAATCAGTATTTCCTGTGAAAAACCTCATTTTAAACCCCTCATTGGGTGGTATTGCATTGAGGGCACATGCGTTAAGGAACTGACGCAACAGAATTTTGCATGTGAACCTTTTGATTCCAACTTTGCCAAGAATTCTTGTCATCTAGTCCCTGGAACACTGGGGAATTGGAACCAGGATCACTTTCTGCTGCAACTAATTACTGCTACTGAGTAATCTCTTTTTTTCAAATGTTCAAGCAGGTGCAGAAATGCTCAATATCTTACAAAGAAATATCACTGGTAGAGTTGAAACTAAAACTCAGGCTGTATTACACCATTCTCAGTTCTCTAGCTTCACTGCTGAGGGAACTGATAAGCATTTTAAAGTGTAATTGCTGTGCTCTTGACCCTTGTGATTCTAGTGGGCTGGGAGGAGGGATCTTGTGAGGAGGATGCTCTTGACCAAAGCTGTTGTAAAGCAGGAGGCAGGAGAGTCGTGGTGACAGCAGTGGTCCACAGGCTGTCTCTGACCAACCTGTTTTAGAGTCCCAACCGCTGACCAGATTGCTCTTCGGAGGGACGGAATGGTTAAATATTGGTTCTCATAGGGAATATTTTTTAGACTTTTACTTATGAATTAGGTGGTCTTTGATCTTTTGTGATTTACAGTATTTGTTAATGTTTTCTCATAACTATATTGACTTTCGAATGTCTAAATTATTTCTTAGGGATGTTAAAGCTGTGAAATTAAATTTTTAGCCATTCTAAAAAGTAGAAATTTTGAGAGCATTTTTGTAATCTATCTGTATTAGAATTTTATTATTACTCTACATATGTGAAATTGTCCCTTCTTGTTAGTCCCTTCCCTGACTCTTATTCATTGTCTAAAATTGGGAATTTGTGTGGAGTAACTTTAATAAAGCAAACTAGGATTCCTTATGCAGAATCTTTTAAACAACTCAGTTTTAGGAACTAGTGTTCTGTTTCACATTATACATTAGATGTATTCTAGAAAAATAATTATAAGTCAAGCACCATTTTAAAAATAAAATTTCTATTTAAGGGAAGCCTACCGTAAATCCTTTTGTGATTATCCATTGGTCTAAGTTTAGATTTTCTTAACAATAGACACTTCTCTATATGAATGACATCTGACTAAGAAAGTTATGGCAATCTTCTAAATAAGGAAACTGATGCTGGCCAGGCTTGTATCTGCCCAGGATTTTGCCAACACTTAATATTCTATAAGTAATGCAACATAAAAGAAAGAGAAGGATATAGTGCAGCCACATTATTTCATATCCTCTTGGTAGTTCAGCATAATTGCATGCCAGCAGGTTCACACTCATTCTTTGGTTTGGGATCGCTGTTTTACATGCACCCCTTTGCTGTCATGCTGAAGTCTCTACTGTGAATCCAACAGAGTAAATAGACTATTAAAGAATGTCCACACTGGAGGCGCCAAGATAAAAGCTAAGAATAAATGTAAGTCCAGCAGATAATAGCTACTGCTCAAGAAATGTAGAGAGGATCATGAAAATCTGTAATGCAGTTTGGACAAAACTAGCATGGATTTCTAGTCCATTATTTTATTTCTCTGGAGAGAGGCTGATCTGTTACCATATCAGAGAGCTTTTTTAGTCTCTATTCACTTAACTCGCAAGAATGGTAAAACAAACAAACTTCTTAATCTTGTGTCTATTGTACAGTCTTTTCTTTTTTTTTTCTTTTTTTGGAACACTGCCAAGCTAAAACTTGCTCAGCCAAAGATGTGTATTTACAACACTGCTGTCACCTGCTTCTCTGATGATACAGAGAGGCTTATATTTTTAAAATGTAATATCCAAAGCTGTTTTAAAGTGTTCTTTGTATTAAATACAGCTATAATTGTGTTTCTGGCAACAGTTCTGGGACTTACTAGTAATTCTGTAATCATAACAATTATTTTGAATCTTTGTGGGAATTTCTTAGAATAAATTTCACTTGTTAATTTCATTATAAATGTCTCAAATATTCTTTAGTTGAATCAATTTGATTAGTCAGCAGTCATTATTGAAGTAGTTTTATGTATACTTAATGAATACTTCTTGCCGTGAAAAACCAGAGATACTTTTAATAATTTTTAGAGTAATTGTACAACGTATTTGATAATTTTTTGTTTTAGTTATTTATGAGAGGACTGCTATTGTATAATGTATCATTTTTCAAACTTATTTTTTTAGCCGAATGCTTTTTCTAACCAGAATCTTACATGGATCTCCAATATACAGATCAGATCAAAGGCTGGCTGCCTTGAGTGGGTGGGAGTAGGGTAGGGATGTGGAGGGTGCGGAAGTAGGAGGAAGGGGCGGGGGGAGTTGTAGTGGTGCTGTGATGTTCCCCTGGCATCAATTGCAAAGCATTCTCTCTTGATCCCTATGTGATCCCTGTGGGGTGGGTAGGTAGAGCCTGTATTATTCTCATAATATAGATGAGGAAACTGAAGCCCAGCATGATTTGTCTAAGAAAACGAACAGAGCAGGTAAGAAGTGAAATGAGAATTTAACCCAAGTTGTTTATTCCGAAATCTAGATTTTTCTGAAATAAAGCCCAACTTAGTTTTTTTTTTTTTTTGGTGAGGAAGATTAGCCCTGAGCTAACATCCGTTGCCCATCTTCCTCTACTTTATATGTGGCCCACCTGCCACAGCATGGCTTGATAAGCGGTATGTAGGTCTGCTCCTGGGATCTGAACCTGTGAACCCTAGGCCGCCGAAGCGGAGCCTGCCAACTTAACCACTACGCTACTGGGCTGGCCCCCCAACTCAGTTTTTACTTACCTGATTCAAATAATTTAAGTAGGTAGGATTTATATATAAAGGTAACAATACTAATTCTTAAGGCTTTTTCCCCCCTTCTTTGTGGAGAGATTACCTAATTTTTTTCCCTAGATAGTTGGGTCTAATCATAGCACAGCAAACTTTAATGGACAATTCATTTGTATTAGGCTTTAAAAATCGAATATATTATCCAAACGAATATTTAGTAGCAAAATTTCTGTACCAATATATTGTGGTACAGATTGACTTAAAGAGCTTTAGTCACATATTGAAAGAGATTCTACATGTGCACATATGGATGGTTGGTCCTTAATATGAAATTGAGATCCCGTGAATTTGTTAGATATTTGTAGTACTGCCTTCTTGACGTCTGCAGCAAAACTGTTAATTAGAGGTTCCTTATTGCCTCATGGGAACCTGTTAGATACTGGCCTTAAATGATTTTCCACCTGTGGCCAAATTGCCACCCCAGCCCCACCCCAGTTTGTCTGTATTGAGATATAGCTTAAGCTAAATTCTGATTCCTGCCAGAACGCATCTTCAAAGCACACTGAGACCCTGCAGAGTATCAGCAGTGCTCTGTG